CATCTCTGTTGCACTTAGCTTTTGCCTCTAACTCTGCGGGTTTAACAAGGAACGCGTCTTGGTCTTCCTTATGTGGGAGGGGGGACAGGTGATTATACCAAGAATGGGTATTTTATTTGGGACAGAAGTGAAGTACAAGGGATCCGGGTGAGGACTATGTGGACTGCTTCGCAGTAGCGAAGACCGGTTGTGATGGTGGTGTGTGCAGTAATGGGGAGAAGGGAAATCCGGTTACAGAAAGGAAGGTTGGGGAGCATACCTGTTTGTAGCCCCCCTTGTATGTTTGGCCTGTCCCCATCAGTTCCGCTAGCTTACCATCCTCCACTCATTGTAACTCTACTATTAGTCAAACTCAAGAACAACCCTCCACCGCCCCCTCCCCCCCCCCCACCCCCCCCCTGCTAGCTCCAAGGGGCTCTCGTAGTGATGTCCTCGATGTGAATTCTGCTCGGGTGAAACACATCGATCCAGTCTTGCTAGCTCATCCTCCCCTCTCTCTCGGGTTGTGTCCTGACATGTGATGCCATGCAGGTTTTAAGTACCACATCTCATCTTTGCTCTAATCGGTTTCGGGACCCCCCTGTCACACCACCCCTCCCCCCCTCCCCCCCCCACCCCGCTCCAGGTTTTTCCCAGTCGTCTCCCTGTGAGTGGAAATCGCCATTACCAGTAACTTTGCCTCTGCTCGAGTGAGCTCTTCTTTTGCCAACCTCAGCCAGTGTGTCCACCATCACCCTGTTGTTTTCTTCGTACTCCTCTCTTGGACTCCTGCAGTTCTGTGGAGGGGTTATAAATCACTCCAATGACTTGACATCTTATGTTCTCCGAGGACTGATTGTAAACCTACAATGTAGTCATCTTTCTCAATCATGTCCATGCCCTTCAATTTCCACAATCCCATTGGTGTTTTATGAGCAGTGCAACCCTCCTCCCCTCTACTCCTTCTATCTTTCTCAGGATCTTGAATTCTGTTGGGAATGATTGTGTCTGTTATGTATCTCAGCGAGTTTTTGTTTCTGGACTGCCATATGATGTTGGGATTTGTCACTGATTCTTTCATTCCATCCTCTATGTTTATTCATTATTCATCCGCATTTTGTGTACCAACATTTTGTTTCTTTTCATTATCATTGTGGCTCATGCAAAGTATATTGGGGATTGGGGGATGAGGGAGAGCTTGGTGGGGGCCTATATGGGGGCTGTGTGTGGTGGGTATGTGTTGATGGGGGTGGGTCAGATGCCCATAAGGTGACAGCCTGTTGGGGTGGTGAGGTTTGTGATATGGGGGTAGGAGGCAGAGGGAACAGTGAGTTGGGTTGGAGTATAGGTTGTTCAGTTGCGTTGGAATGTCGCGGCTGTGTCGGTCTTTTTGGTGGGAGATTCTGTGCGGGAGTGTTTGCCCTCCTTCCTCCTGTGTCTGGGTCCTGCTCATTTTCATTGCTTCTCGTTCCTCCTCCTGCGTTCTTGTGTACTCTCATTTCGTGTCGTCGTTTTTTCTTGTGTTCTGTCGCAGGTCGACGGTATACTCTCTTTGGTACCCCTCTTTGTCTCTCCAGTCTTTGGCTTTCTCTTGCAGAATCCTGATTCGAACTGATTCTACCTTGAAGTTACTCTGACAGGCCGTATCCTTCCACTCGCAAAACCACCAATTCTCTGAAAATTTGTCACTGGTCCATATTGCCCTCCTTATTGTTTTCATGATGCCGTCAATCATTTTTTTTTCCTCTTGTTTTATTTCTTTCAAGTATGATTGGCCCTTGGCTTTTGGAGCTCCGTACACACAAACATGACCTCGCCTTTCCTCCTTCCCTACTGTGTGAGTCTCCTCTGCTTCCTCGATTGACGCATTTTGGTTCTCTTCATGGACATGTCTGCTTCAGTCCCTGTCATATTGAAACGACTCTATTCTTAGTGGGACTGTCTTTCCTGGCCAGCTGTCCCTTTGCTACTGCAGATGGTGTTAGAACCTCTGCCATATAACAAACCTTTCATTTTCTTCGGACCTGTCGCTTGATTCTTAGTGTGCTCATCGTCTTTTCCCTTGCCCACCTAGTGGTCTGATTAGGTCTATCTCGCTGTACGCATGTCATCCGTAGTTGCGTTACCATCCCCATTTGTCTGCAGCTGACTCTGAATTCTTCATCATGTTGTCTTCCGCTGTCGTTTGATCTCAGGGGTGCTTCGGTCGGTCTTTTCCTGGCCCACGTGGTCTGATATGGCCTTCCTGTCCGGCATGTCTCCGTTGTTGCTGTACCTCCCCTTGTCTGCGCCTGACTGTTTGAATTTATGATGTCACGTATCCTGAATGTCATTTGTCTCTCTAATCGTTTCAGGCTTTGCAGTTTCTCTTTCTAAGCACTGTATTAGGCTTTGCTGCTAGGCCTGTACTTCCCATTCTGCATCTTAAGCTATCAGCTCCTCCATTTTCTTACCACGGGTCTACTATCTTCTTCCACTCTTCTCCTTTTTTTGGAGCTCTCACTCCCAGTTTCCTCCCTGGTTTTTACCAGATCTCTGGTTTTCCGTCCTCTAAGGCCACCATATTTTTTTTTTTTTTTTTTTTTTTTTTTTTTTTTTTGTTAGGGACGGGAGAGAGAGCGGGAGGGGAGAGAGAGGAGAGGGAGCGAGGGAGGGGAAGAGGGAGAGTTGGGAGAGAGGGGAGAGAGGAGGGAGAGAGAGTAGGAGAGAAGAGGGAGAGAGCGAGGGAAGAGAGGGAGAGGGAGAGAGAGAGGGAGAGAGAGAGGGAGAGGGAGTGAGGGAGGAGAGAGAAGAGGGAGAGTGAGGGAGAGAGAGAGGGAGAGAAGGAGGAGAGAGAGAGGGAGAGGAGGGAGAAGAGGAGGAGGAGAGGAGAGAGGGAGAAGAGAGGGAGAGAGAGAGGAGAGAAGGAGGGAGAGAGGAGGGAGACGAGGAGGGAGCCAAGGAGCGGGAGAGAGAGAAGGAAGAGAGGGGGGAGGGAGAGACGAGAGAGTGAGGAGAGGAAGGAGGGAGAGAGAGAGGGAGAGAGAGAGGGAGAGAGAGAGGGAGAGAGAGAGGGTGGAGAGGAGAGGGAGAGAGAGAGATGAGAGGGAGAGAGAGAAGAGGGGGAGAGAGGAGGGAGAGAGACGCGAGGGAGAGAGAGGAGAGAGAGAGAGTAGGGGAGGGAGAGAGGGGAGGGAGAGAGCACGGGAGATGATGAGACCGAGAGAGAGAAGAGGAGAGAGAGAGCGGAGAGAGAGGAGAGCGGGAGAGAGAGAGAGAGAGGGAAAAACAGCGAGAGAGAGAGTGAGAGCGGAGAGAGAGAGAGAGCGGGAGAGAAGAGAGAGAGAGGGAGCGAGACGAGAGTGTGAGAGGGGGAGAGGGAGAGGGGGAGAGAGGGAGGAGAGGAGAGAGGGAGAGAGGGAGAGAGAGAGAGAGAGAGAGAGAGAGACGAGAGAGTGAGAGGAGGAGAGAGAGAGAGGGAGAGGAGAGAGAGAGAGCAGGAGAGAGAGAGAGAGAGACGAGAGCAGTGAGAGAGAGAGAGAGAGGGACAGCGGAGAAGAGGGAGGAGAGAGAGAGAGGGAGAGAGGGAGAGAGGGAGAGAGAGGGAGAGAGAGGGGGAGGAGAGGGGGAGAGGGGAGAACAGAGGGAGAGAGAGGGAAGTCGAGGGGAGAGAGATGAGGAGACGAGAGACGAGAGAGAGGGGGGGGAGGGATAGAGAGAGGGAGAGAGGGACTGAGAGGAGAGAGAGGGAGGAGAGAGAGAGAGAGAGTGAGAGAGAGAAGAGAGAGTAGAGAGAGAGAGAGAGGGGAGAAGAGAGGGAGAGAGAGGGAGATAGAGGGAGAGAGAGGGAGAGAGGGAGAGAGAGGGAGAGAGAGGGAGGAGAGTTTGGAGAGAGAGGGAGAAGAGAGGGGGAGAGAGAGGGAGGAGAGAGGGAGAGAGAGGAGAGAGAGGGAGCGAGAGGGACGAGGAGAGGGAGAGAGAGGGAGAGAGAGGGGAGAGAGGAGAGAGAGGGAGAGAGAGAGCAGAGAGAGAGAGAGAGAGAGAGAGAGAGAGGACGACGAGAGGAGAAGTAGCGTGACGATGAGAGAGAGAGAGAAGAGAGAGAGAGAGTGAAGTGAGTGATCGAGTAGGGGGAGGTGAAGGGAGCGAGGGAAGAAAAAAGTAGGGAGCCGTGAGGGTCTGTTGGGGGTCTGTTGGGTGGGGCGGTCAGATTCCCAGGATCAGCTGTGTGTATCGCCTGATGTGGTGTCTGGGGTCGAGACCCAGCTACGGCCCGAAGTGTGTATGTGTGTGCGCGCGATTCGTGATGTGTGTGATTGGCACGTCCAGTTGTGTGTGTGTGTGAGTGTCTGTGTAAAAATTTAGCATATTTGTACAAAACAAAAACTTTTCAAAATTACTAACCTAATTTAACAAGCGCAATAATTTAGCCAATCCAATAATATATTTAGATAAGTTTCAATAATTTAATTAATAAACAACACCCAATGAAATATGTTTTTTTAGTTAGGTTGAGTGTGATTTTTTGGGAATTAAAAAAAACTTTATTTTTTTTTTTTTTGGGGCATGCACAAATTTTCCGCATGCTTATTCGCTAGAAGAGCGTTGCTATTTAAGCCAAAATCGCTTAATATTTTAATCAAGGGAGAGAACTAAGCTCATGGAGGTCAATTACTGCTTGGGGAATGGTAGGCAGTTAGGGTCAATCCTGATTATGAATTCCCGACGTATATACACTGCAGGATACACTTAATTGGTTGGTTAATGGAGCTTGAAGCCTATCAACTAAGCAAGAATTATTAAGACTGCGTATTACCCATTTCACCGTCAGTCAAAAAAAAAAAATATTTTAATCCCTCAAGAAAGGTATTGAAGAAAATTCTCAGCATATATACACTGAGAGACATGCATCTTTCTGTGTATACGAGTATATATTATGTGACTCTGGCTTTCAGAAACGAAAATAATAGTACAATGCTAGTGTGTTTGGAGCGAGAGACCAAATGATGCGCAACTTTTTAGTCCAAATTGTCTCGTTACAGATCAGATAATGTGGGTCGCAGTATATCAGCTCTCATATCCTCCTCAGCACTGGCAGCCTCAGTCGCCATAAATCAAAGTGCAAGGAAATCAGTAGCAGAGAGGAAACTAGTCCCATCTAAACGCCTTATCAAATCGCAAGACACCGCACCCCGCCCCGAGATCTTCTGGAAACCAGCGGAGCTCTTCTTCGTTTCTGAGGCTCTCGACTTTAAAACCGACGAGCAGCATCTCATGGTTCTGAGCCCTCATTAGATGCGAGCCTCCAGGCAGACAGAGCAAGAAGGTTCTCTGGTGACTTACAGTGTGCGGGTGCCAGCAAGGATGGCAGTAAGGCCTCTTTACCTTACGTCAACGAGAGTTACGCCAGCGATCTGCAGCACGAGAGGATGTTCATGAGTGTTGGTCGTCTGCAGCACCTCGTCATGCAAGTCATAGAAGAAGAAACTTCAAGTGAGGTAGAGAAAGAGATGTTATTATGTGATAAAAATTAAGTGTTTATCACCTGCCACTAGGCTGAGGTACTGTTCACCTATCATCTACTGTCTTTTGTATATATTTTTAGACTTCAGATTATGTCATTGTATTGATAAAGCCACTGGATGGCGAAACGTCTACAGATTAAAGATACCCAGATGTTGCACATGTGTCTAATTCATCATCTAAAAAGTGAAATAGAGGGTGGAACTATTTTAATGTTAAGTTTGAAAATGATAAGAACCAAAATATGCGGTTTTTATGATAGCTGAAAGTGAGGCAGAAATTGAATAATTATTGTAACAGAAAGCTGAAATGAGCATACCAAAAAACAAAAATGATTAGAGTTAAAAAATGAAATGGCCGGTTGGTCAGTGGGATTTAAAGCTTATCGACTACATGAGTCATTAAGGATGAATGTAACCTAAGAGTTAAGAATATTTTATTCCTAAAAGAGGGATTAAATTCATTGTGTATATACACCGAAAGATATACACCTCTGTATATACTCTGAAAGACGTATAATTATATATATATATATATATTATATATATATATATATATATATATATATTATATATATATATTTTATATATATATATATATATATATAATATTATATATATATATATATATATATATATATATATTATATATATATATATATATATATATATATATATATATCGTGCCGAATAGGTAAAACTTGCAATTTTGGCTTAAATAGCAACGCTCTTCTTGCCGAATAAGGAAAGCGAAAATTTGTGTATACAGTAATTAATAATTTAGCAAAAATTCTGAACCTAACGAAAAAATATTAATTTCATTGTGTTTGTTTATTATTAAATTACTGTAAACTTATTTAAAATATATTTAGCTGGATTAGGCTAAATTAAATTGCGCTTGTTCTAATAAGGTTAGGTAACTTTTCTAAGGTTCATTTTGGTACAAAATTATTAGTTTTGTCCATTAACATAAATGAGAAGAAATATATCTTTAAACGCATAAGAGAAAATTTTAGAAAGGACTTAATTTTAAATGTTCGGCACGAGATATACACCGAGAGACATACACCTCTTGGTGTATATATCCTGTATGGAAAGTGAAATAAAAATGAGTAGTTATTAAAACAGAATTAAAAACATGTCTCAAACCATCGTTTTAAAATTACAGTGTTATGTTTTTTTGTAATTTTTATGAAATCCGTAATTTCTCTTACTGGTGTGTGGTGTTACAGCCTCAGTAATTATTTATTTTAATTCTGTACCTTAAGTACTCCGGTACATAATTCCCAGAATGGAGAGAATTTATTTCGAAAAGGGAGAGGGAAAAAGAATAATTTTAGTCACTGTCCACCACGGTACTTTTTTGTATTGTCCAACATGGTGCTTCCTTTAATTACTGTCTAACATAGGGCGTTCTCTAGAGAATGTCCAACACGGTACTTTCTGTAGTTACATAATACTTTCTCCATACACTCCTCGGTACTTTCTCTAGTCATTATCCAACATGGTACTTTCTCTAGACACTGTTCAACACGGTACTTTCTCTAGACGCTGTTCAACACGGTACTTTCTCTAGACATTGTTCAACACGGTACTTTCTCTAGACACTGTTCAACACGGTACTTTCTCTAGACACTTCAACACGGTACTTTCTCTAGACACTCTTCAACACGGTACTTTCTCTAGACACTGTTCAACACGGTACTTTCTCTAGACACTGTTCAACACGGTACTTTCTCTAGACACTTCAACACGGTACTTTCTCTAGACACTCTTCAACACGGTACTTTCTCTAGACACTGTTCAACACGGTACTTTCTCTAGACACTGTTCAACACGGTACTTTCTAAGGTCACTGTCCACGACAGCTTTTAGTTCAGCAACATTTATCAATATACAAACATCGATTTTACTGTCTCTACTTATAGAAGTATATGAGAAATCAGTCACAATACCGTGGCTACCACAACTCACAACTAACCCACAATACCGTGGCTACCACAACTCACAACTAACCCACAATACCGTGGCTACCACAACTCACAACTAACCCACAATACCGTGGCTACCACAACTCACAACTAACCCACAATACTGTGGCTACCACAACTCACAACTAACCCACAATACCGTGGCTGCTGCAATTCACAACTAGGTCAGAATTCAGAGTACAAATTTTAGACTATTTTTCGGTCTAACGACGTACGAAACAGCCTATTCCTTTCTTATTGCGATGTTTCGCTCTGTAGAGCTTGGTAAAGATTTTACAACCGAGCGAAACATTGTCCCAGTGAAAGTTAGTTTTCCAAACTGTCTTTATTTTCCTGTTGACAGAACTACGAAATTTTGAGATTGTTGTAGATGCGGTGGAAGATATGAGAGGTTCATGTCTACTGACAGTAATTGTTGTGTTCTGGATTGTGTGTGTGTGTACTGACTTGTGTGTGTTGGGTTGTGTGTGTATCGACGTGTGTGTGTGTGTGTGTGTGTGTGTGTGTGTGTACCGGGTTGTATGTGTACTGGGTTGTATGTGTATTGGGTTGTGTGTGTACTGGGTTGTGTGTGTGTGCTGGGTTGTATGTGTACTGGGTTGTATGTGTACTGCGTTGTGTGTGGACTGGGTTGTGTGTACTGACGTGTGTGTACTGGGTTGTGTGTATACTGGCGTGTGTGTACTGGGTTGTGTGTACTGATGTGTGTGTACAGGGTTGTGTGTGTACTGACGTGTGTGTACTGGGTTGTGTGTGTACTGACTTGTGTGTATACTAGGTTGTGTGTGTGTATCGACTTGTGTGTACTGGGTTATGTGTGTACTGACGTGTGTGTGTGTGTGTGTGTGTGTGTGTGTGTACTGGGTTGTGTGTACTGATGTGTGTGTACAGGGTTGTGTGTGTACTGACTTGTGTGTATACTAGGTTGTGTGTGTGTGTATCGACTTGTGTGTACTGGGTTATGTGTGTACTGACGTGTGTGTGTGTGTGTGCACTGGGTTGTGTATGTACTGGGTTGTGTGTACTGGTTGTGTGTGTACTGACGTGTGTGACTGGGTTGTGTATATACTGGGCTGTGTGTACTAGGTTATGTGTGTACTGGGTTGTGTGTGTACTGACGTGTGTACTAGGTTGTATGTGTACTGGGTTGTGTGTACTGACTTGTGTGTGTGTACTTGGTTGTGTGTATACCGACTTGTGTGTGCACTGGGTTGTATGTGTATTTGTGTGTGTACTGGGTTGTATGTGTACTTGTGTGTGTACTTGGTTGTGTGTACGGACTTGTGTGTGTACTGGGTAGCATTTGAGGTGCGCCTAGCAAGCCTCGCCTGTCCCTTGTAGCGCGGGAAAGAAATCAATAGAGGAAGGAGAGAGAGATAGAGAGAGAGAGAGAGAGAGTGGCTGAACATGGCGCGGCCCGACCGTGTGTGGTGCTGAGCTCACCCTCAGTTACATTCAGCTCAGCGGGCCGTGCCACTTCTGCCCTCCACACAGGTGACCTTTTAAATCCCCCCAGTGTAGTGCCACAGTGCCCCAAGAGTGCCCATGATACAGTGAGAACCATCTGGTCAGTGCCCCCCCAACTCCCACCTCCAGCACCATGAGAGAACATAACCCAGTTTGATACGCCAGCAGCCTCGCCTTTATCTGTACGCTGGTGGACATGAACACCACAGTAAGTACGCCAGTCATCTTGCGCATCCCCAGGGGGTGATAGTCACTCCAGTTCCCAATGGGGAACGGCGGGGGGAGCCTCAAAAAGTCCCTCCTCTTAACAAGTCTACGGATCCATTAAGTGCCTCTTACCCTCTCAGTCTCCATTTTTTTTTTTCCATAAATCTAGGCTAGGTTATGTGTGTAGTGAAGTGGACTGTGTTGGAGTAGGGATCACATGAGAAAGAGAGCTAGCTCACTGGTTTCCCTTATATGATAGAGCAAGATGGTTTTAAAGACGGGAAGAAACTAGAGAAAATGCTTATTGAAATGTTTTATTCTCGTAATTTATTCGTTATGCATGACTGTCGCGAGCTAATACAGATTTTCATTATGTATTTTGCAACTGGTGAATTAAATTTTCTATCTCCGAGAGTTTGGGTATATGATAAACCGATATTTATATTTTTTGTTCTTGTGTGAACTCCGCCATGACGTAACTTTTTTTAACGGTAGAAACTTCTACAAACTTTAGTTTTAATTTCCAGATTTACAACTAGTGTAAAAAAATCAAGAGGTTTCTTGATGCCGGTGAGGGGCTCTTGACCCAAGGAATTAGGCTTGTGCTCCAAGGCCTTGATATCAGCCTTCCATTCCTCCAGGCGATGTATGGCCCTGGCGGGTTTAAAACTCTCCCATGGTTATAATAATAATATAATAACGGCAATAATAATAATAGTCTTAAAAATAATAAAAGTTCTGGCCACAGGTCTAGAATTTCTTAAAGATGACAGTGAACTTCCAAGAAAAGGAAAGTGTATCCACTGAAGAGATGGTCAGGTCCACAGAGCATCTGAAGTGTAGTGTTGTCACTGCTGGGATCCTAACTAGGCCAGACGATCATTATTTTTGTTTTTTGTTTTTTTTCTGCGTAAACTGAAGTCTCTTGTCTCATGGTCTTGATGCGTCTCGTTGGAAAATAAAGCGGTGAGGAATTCATCAAAGAATTATGTCCGTCAACCAACGGAGATATTTGATTATATCCACACCCATCCACCCACCCATGCGCGCGCGCGTGCACACACACACACACACATACACACACACACACACACACACACACACACACACACATGCTGAGTCTCGACCCCTGCAACCACAATTAGGCGAGTACAATTAGATGAGTACACACACATACACTGAATTTCTTTTGAAGCAAGTGCACGATTTACAGCCTAAGACTAGCTTGCAGGAATCTCAACAAGGAGTTTTTCATGACCCCCAATATACCACACATGCCACGCCTGTCGAAGAGTATGCAGCACCAGCATGGAGCCCACACTTTGTAGAGCACCTTAAGAAATTAGAGAAGCTGCAGAGATTCGCAACAAACCCGACACCAGAACTGAGGGAGTAACCTATGTGATGAGACTAAAATATATGAACCTGACAACACTGGACTTAAATATCTGAACCTCGTGATATTTACCAATGAGGAGAAACTAAAATAATTGAACCTCATAATATAGACCTGTGAGGAGAAACTACAATGACCGAACCTCATAATATTGACCTATAAGGGGAATTACAATGACTGAACCCAGTAGAAAATAAATGAACCAGACACGGAACCCAGAGGACCTGACAGGGTCTACAGTGAAACACAGTTACAGAAGATGAAAACTGGAACAAGGAAGGGATGGGAGGGATGTGATGTGGGTTGAAAAAGATGTAAATTAAAGCAGCAGGTGTGTTGCCGGGATGATGCCAGAAAACATTTGTTCAGTGTGGTGACTTTGAGAGTGCACTGACGTGGTTGTAGGAGGGGTGGAGGCAAGCTCCTGCCGCACCTTTAAGAATGTATATATGACAGGACTCGCGAGACTAGGTGTGAGTGAAGCTAGTAACTACCAGTTAAAGAGGAGTCGTCTTTCCAAAGACCAGCCTCGCTATAAAAGTCACTGGAGACACCACTTTCGCAGCAAAAGTGACTGGAGAGACCAGTCTCGCTATAAGAGTGATTAAAAACACCAGTCTTGCAGCAAGAGTGACTGGAGAGACTAGTCGCGATACAAGAATGACTGGAGAGACTAGTCGCGATACAAGAATGACTGGAGAGACCAGTTTCGTTACAAGAGTGTTTGGAGAGATCAGTCTCGCTACAAGAGTGATTGGAGAGACCAGTCTCGCTACAAGAGTGATTGGAGAGATCAGTCTCGCTACGAGAGTAATTAGAGAGACCAGTCTCGCTACAAGAGTGATCCACCTTCAATTCTGAATGTCTCCTAGTTTGCCTCACCACTTCACTGTGAGTACGCAGTGAATACGCAGCCTCAGCATGGAGTCCACACCTGGTCAAGCAAGTGAAGACACTCGAACAAAGGTCCGAAAGTTTTTAACCAGACTAGTACCAGAACTGAGAGGGATACACTGTGAGGAGAGACTGAAGGAACTGCACCTGACGACCTTGGCGGAGAGAAAAACGAGAGAAGAAAGAGGCGGCGCCAAGGCAGGGAGATGCCGTCGGGGACATCAACCCCTCAAAATTCACCCATTTTCCCAAATAAAAATAATAGTATTAATAACGCTGCTTTCAAAGAAGTCTCCTAGCCCCGTCTTGCAGCTAGAAAGCCACCACTAAGACATCCCGGTATAGAAATTCTTGCCCAGCCCCTGAGAAAACATGATAATGACATACAGTATCTTAAGGGAAAGTGATGGGGCAGATAAAGATAGAATGAACGAAGAGGATCAGGATCAAGAAAATATAGAAGGAAACAGAAGACACAGATGGCCTATAAGGATGTAAGAAAGTATTTCTTTAGTCTCAGGTTGGTTGAAAAGTGGACTGACTTTGATGAGACAGTGATGGAGGCAGACTATCCAGCTTCAAGAATAGATATGATAAAATCCAAGAGGTGAGAAATAAGTGATACCAATCAAAGCATGTATGTGTACATGCTCTTCACAATTTTCAAGGCTGAGGGACTGATTACATCGTCTTTTGTATATAGTTTTACTGTCTTCCCATTATGTCCTTGAAATTATATTAATAAAACCACTGGATGGCGAAATGTCTACAGTAAAGATACCCAAATGTTGCACATGTGCCAAATTCTTCATTATGTTTACCTGGTCACCATAACTATAGACCTAAGTGCTCACTATCACCAGGTTCATCATTCTCCACCTCGACCTCCGACACCCACCTACATGCCTTTGGGTATGTAGATAGTGACCACCTACGTAGTCATTTCACCACGTTCACCATTCTCCACTTCACCTCCGACACTCACCTACATGCCCGTGGCTATACAAATCATGCAACACATCCAAAGTAGGTCACGTCCCGGGGTAAAATTGTCATGTATATGTGTAACTGCAGACCTGATGTATACATGCACGTAGGCAGCACCTCCGGTACTGACCAGGGACTCAGCATCGGAGAGCTGAATTAAAACGTCTTTAAGGAAAAATACGGGGGGTGGGGGGTTTCCTTGAAACTATTTGAAATAGTATTTTCCAACAATTTAAACGTGTACATAACTCCAGATCTGCTGTGAGTCGCATTTGGCTGGAAAAATTGCAAAAAATTTAATATGGAAGTACAGTAGTGGTGGAAGGATTGAAGTGTTTAAGAGGCTCTAGGATGGAGTTTGATGCCAAATGGAGAAGCAGTTTTATTGATCGTTCGCCCTCCCCGTCAGGGGAGAAGGTTGTCTTGATACTGGTGAATGGCTCTTGATCCGAGGAATTAAAGTTACCCTTCCATTCCTCGAATCAAACTTGATTGCCTCCTATTTTCCAGGCACTGTGTGACCCCTGACGATTGGAGATGAGTTGCATTAGGCTAGTTTACGTGAGGTTAGATTGGGTTAAGTTAATTTACGTTAGGTCATGTCATAAGATCCACTTTCCTCCACTCCTATTTAACATGCTCACACAACCCTGTTAGTGTCAAAGCCACTAGCATTCAAAACCTCCTTTACTCCCTCCCTCCAGCCTTTCCTAGGACGACCCCTACCCCTACTGCCCTCCACCCCAGATTTATATACCCTCTTAATCATTATATTTTTTCCATCTTCTCTAAACGTTCAAACCACCCCAACAACTCCTCAGCCCTCTGAATAATGGTTTTGGTAACTTTACACCTTCTAATCTTCAAGATGCCAGTTCTCTGCATAATATTCACACCACACATTGCCCTCAGACACGACATCTCCACTTCCTCCAACCTCCTCTCGTTGCAACGTTTAAACCCATGCTTCATACCAATATAAGAGTGTTCAATTATACTCTAGTACATTCCTCTTTTGTCTCCATGGATAAAATTCTTTGTCTGTACAGATGCTTCAGTGCATCACTCACCTTTTTCCCCCTCGTCAATTTCTAAGGCTCGGTTCATCTTTCATAGACCCGTCCGTCGACAGGTCCACTCACAAATAGCTAACAACATTCCATCTTTGGCATGCACATGAATTAATAGGGTTATCAAAGATTATTCTTTAGGTAACATTGAAAATGGGTTGGGAAAATATTTTTGTTAGCAGGTTTGGGTTTGAGAACGACCGGCCTAGTATGGGCCAGTAGGCCTCCTGCAGTGTTCCTCTTTTTTATGTTCTTTAATTATCTAGATATTCGTTTACTTTCATCACCTTGCTCTTTCCTATGATCATTTTAACAACAACAAGGAAAGCAATAACACAAAAAACAATAACAACAACATGAAACAATTTCACTCAACAAACATGTATGTAACAGTTGCTCTGTAAACAAACACAGGGGACGCTTGATGATAGAGAGCGTCGACAAACCATCGTTTATCCTCAGTTATATACGTGGCTTTTCACACGTTTTGTAAGTTTCTTCCATGTCATTGACTAGTCTGCCACGCTCCAGTGACTAGCCACTGCCACGCCAGCTACTAGCCATTGCTACACCAGTGATTAGTCTCTGCCACACCAGTGACTAGTCACTGCCACGCCCTCTACCTTCAGAGGAACACCAGCAGCAGTGAACCCA